GGCTGAGTGTCAGCGTGGCTTCTCTCCTGTCACCTAGTCTGACCTCCTTACGCTCCACCAGTGGCTCTGCCTCTCCAGTCAGCCTGTTGTGTTAATCCTAGAGTCTGAGACTACTGTGTTTCTTTTTTTGTCCTATTTTCAAATTTTTTAGGTCCTTAAATAATTTAATAAATTCCTGAAGGCCTTCCTTGTCAGCCCAGAAGCAATTTTCTGTACTAAAAACTACAGCCACCAATGATACAGTTTACTAGCTGTAAGCACCATGACCTTTTGCCTGTGAGTCGATTCTAGCCAGAATACTTTTAGTACTTCTAAGTATGATGCTCCTTCAAATGATCAATTTTATGATCTCTGTGCTCAGCATACCATAACATAAAAGGCCCTTTTCTCTGTTCCTTCCTTTCACAGCCAATATCTTCTGTATGTCAGTGCAGCGGGATGTTATTCGAAAGACACAAGCAAGCAATGACATTATTACCGCTCAGCCGCAGACAGGCCCTGCGGGGATTTATTGTACTGAGAGGGTGAGCGGAGCCACCTCTTGGCTGCCACAGAAATCTCCGTGAGCCTTGACCGCCGATATTGCCCACTGCAGAAAATAACTCGTGACCCCCGTTTAGGTTGCCTTATAAGTCTTCCCATTTTATGGTCTGAATGACAACCTGCACAGGATGCCTGTGGTGTTAGCGTTAATGCAGACGAATAAGGTTCTTCCTAGCTCTCTGCTATTTCAGCCACCATGTCTTTTTCTCCTTTTCTTGTTCGGTTTGTTTATTTAATTTACAACCACAGTTTCCTTTCAGATTGGTTTACGGGGTTAATGACTTTCTTTACATTATTTACACCATTTATTCGGCATCAAATGCAGACTATAACTAGTATGACAAAATGAGATTTACTGCCATCACCTTCTTCAGCCAAAGGAGTCTCATGAGAAACATCTCTTTTTAGGGAAAGCATTTTACTTCTCCATTTCCCTTTTCCAAGAAAACCTCTTGGGGACAGGTCTGTGTGGTGCTGAACTGCTGAACTTTGTCGTTATGCTTATTGAATCTAAGACTGATGCTAAATTATGAGGTTTTCTTTAACATATCGCAATGGTTGAGCTTTGCCTGTGCAGCTTACAATGACTGGCAAATAGTGCCACATGGCATGACTGATCCCTGCTTTAGAAACTGATACCTCTTCCTTGATCTCCCTTCATTTGTCAGTGTTTCCCAGGCATGTTGCAGAGTCCTTTTTTTTCTTATGAATGCAGAAATATAGCTGGTCTGAGGAAAAGTTGTTTACAGGCCATTCTTTGCTTATGTTACCAATTTTAATTTCTGACATAGGAATCCAGACCAGTTTCCTGGAATCCAAAACTGCATTTTTAAAAAGTAGTAACATGAAGGGGGAGTTCTACTGCTGGCAAGAAAAAGGAGAGAGACTTTTAAGTGTGATGCGTTATTTTTTGTATTTGGGCACTGAGAGATTTAGAAAAGTGTTTTGTGTGGTTTCAAAACCGAGGGATTAGGCACTTACCTGCTTAGAGGTTTTCAGAACTCTGTTAGCCATCTTCAGTGCTAAATATCCTCAAATATTCAGACTGTCAGTCCTTTGCAGTGCAGATACCCATAGCTACACCAAGGGTTGAAGGCACTTGTCTTTTTTCAGAACAGAGATGCTACCAGGAAGGGTGACAGTTGATACTCTGTGCATATAATTCAAGAAAATACATAAATCATAGGAAAGGTTTTATGCTTTTATAGCCAGGAAACACATTCGCTTACTAGATTTAGTAACTGTCAGGCAATAATGTGATGGACTTATTGTGGGCTAAATTCTGTCATCACATCCTCTGATCATGGAGGACTGACAATAACTGAGTAATTTGGGCTGTTAAAGGCCAGGAAATTGAATTTTAATCAGTGAGGCAAATTTTATACTGAATGGCAATCTAATACAATCCCACTGATTTCAGTGCAACAAGTGTCAAACTTGGCTGTGACTTTTTAAATTAAAAACATGACAAAGACTGACTTATCTTGCAGTATAACAATAATTTTTAGAGGAAATACTTATTTTCACAGTGTATGCTACTTCTGAAACATTACTTCTGTCACAACACCAGACTGAATGCTCTTTTAGCACAAAGTTGGAGGAAGGCTATAGCTGGTCCCCTCCTTTGCATACTCGTGAGGGATACCTATCAATGTCTATAACATACAGGATAGAAGATGTGGTGGAAATAATTCCTGTTGTCATTTTCACTTCTAGCATCTCTAACACAAACGCACTAGTAACCTTGTTGCCCCTATGCTTTCTCCATAAAGGCAGAGAAGCCAGACTGCAGTGAGCGCCTTCAGCTACAGAAGAGACTGGGCTGTAGAAGTTTCCAATGGTTTGTATCAAATGTGTACCCTGAACTCTCCCAACCTGAAGACACACCAAGATTCTCTGGCAAGGTAAGAGACAACACACTATAAAGAATGATTAGTGGTTTTGCATTGTTCAGAGACCCCAGTATCACTTCAATGTACAAAGTACTCAGTGAGCATAGAGTAAGAGGCTGTTCCTGCTTTGAAACATTTATTGTCCAAACAGAAAATTCAACAAGAATGGGAGGAGAAAGAAGGGGACAGAGGAGACAAAGAGCTGGTCCAAATTCTCACATAAACGTTGAAAGCCAGCCAGGAGCTGAACCCAGGTTGTCTGACTCAGTTTGGTGTCACAGCTCAGAGGATCCTAACCTTAGGTTCTTTGTGTGCCTTTAGTAAAGGAAAGGAACTGTGTTGCCTCCTGCAGATGGCAACCGCAACAGCAGCTGAGATATCCCTGTGCTGACCCATGTGCGCGAAGAGAAAAAAACATTTCTTCAGGCCTGCACTTCCCCCAAGGGCAGAGGTGGTAGCAATGGCGGTTCCTTAGATAACTGTGTGCAGGATGCAATGTTCTCAATGGGTTTTTTAAAAACACTTAAATAAATAATTATCATTCATTAAAATATTAGTTTATTCCAGGCAGCCTTACTGGAAGGCATGTTCCCCCAACAAGGCAACAAGATCCGCTAATTAAGTCACACTCTGCCATCTGTAGCCAGATTTTACTGTGTCCTTTTGCTATTTTGTCTGTCCTTTATTATCTAAGTTTGCTTGAGAAGAGTGTAAGAACTGAGCGTGAATCACAGGAATTGACACATGTTTTTTTCTTCTGGAATATCTTGTTTCTTTTCTGAGTACAGTGTCCAGTTGAAGTGCAATTTTCCACTAGCATAAAAATTTTGACTGTTTTCTTTTAACTATCATAATAGCTAAAACCAACAGTGAGTATCTCTAACAAAACTCACTGGGTAACACTGACCTTTGGTGAGACACTGCCTTTTATATCAGATCAGTTTGCAAGATCAATATGCAAGGTCTAGTCTGAAAGAAAAAGATGTTGCCTAATTATGAGCAAAAAAATATACCATGAAGGGATTCAATCACAAAAATGTTAGCTGAAGGACATTTTATTTGTATCTGATTGTGCTTTATTTCAGTATAAACCTTTACTTACAGCTTTACAATACTGGTGTTGGCTTCTGTGCAGATTACAGACCCGGAAGAGCCATTGCAGAAGGCTCTATTGAGCTCTCCCCTTGCAGTGACAGTCTCACCCAGGTACTGTATACTTTAAGTATATGGGCACTGTGTCAGATCTAGGGAACTAGCCAGAAGACAGTCACTCCAACATGTAAATGGCTGGGTTGACTTTACTGGAGGTACTGATGTGTTCAAAATCAGGCATGTGCTAAGGCAATGATGCCCACTCTTCTGCAGCTAACTGTCATTGGAAAAATGGCAAAGTTCCATGTGTCACTGAGGCCAGATACCAACACTGTGCTCCAGCAGGCATCATTAAGTGCCTATTTGTTAGTGTATTTGGTAGTGTCTGGAGAACAGAAAGCCTGGGAGTAGAAAATATATAACAATTCTAGAATAATAGGGATGGGTTTCCCCATTAGTGCCTAAAACTGCCGTTTCATGCCTAAACTGCAAAGACAGGAGGGAAATTCATGTAGACTCCCAAGCTGGTGTTTGACTAGCAAGTTCATGCATTAAGAGAAGCCAAACCAGTACAGACCAACTGCAGATATTTACTCCGAGTCCCAAGCAAGTTTTGCTGCTCACACTGAGCTCAGGGTGAGCTGCAGGCACATTTATAGCTGCGATGTGTGCAGACACTGTAAGAAACACCCTTCTGTTTTATTATAGGATAGGTTTACTTTATACATAATTACAGTCCTACACAAAGCCTTTCCTTAGGTAAATAGTTATGCCAGAATTAGCTAGCAGGGGGGATTTTTTTGCTGGGTCAAGTCTGCTGGGCCCCATCACTCATGTTTTGGTTGCATCTTAACAAACATGTACAGGATATTATTTTTGGAATTAGCATTTAAAAATTAATTGGGATGTCCTTCCATCATTGTTTAAACAAACCCTCCCTTTTCCAGAACTTTGAATATAACAGCATGAAGGAAATCCGGCTTGGTTCTGCTCCACTGTTTTGCTTTGATGTCAGACACGGGAAGGTTATCCCTCAAAACTGTACAAAGGAGACAGACAACAGCCACCAGCACTGGGATGTCCAGGAGGTCAGTAGTGACTCTGCCGTGAGGGGAAGGCAGCTGGTGGTGACTGTGGGATCACTGGGTGATTGACAGGATCTGTGTGTGCAGAAGGGATGCAGTATTTGAAGGGCAAGTTTCGCTTCTGTACCATTTTCACCCAGGAAATTTATGATGCCTCGCCCATGTACACTGTCCATGTGAAATAAATTTGGTTTAAAAATACAAATTACAGGAATCCCACCTAAATGCATATGTTCTCGTTTTAACTGTTTTTCTTACTGGCCTTACAGGAATAGAATCAGAATCAGTGGTTGTGAAAGGCAAATCCTTGCCCACTTCTTTTGGAATAGAGGAAGGGTCTGGGAATCCTGAACTCTCCCAGATGAGAGCCCTTTGGGAGGAGGGGAATCATTAAAATTCCTCCTACATTGTAAGAGAAGAGCAAACTTCCTGCTAGAGGAATTCAGTATTATGCAGTGGACTTCACCCAGCAGAGCCGGAACTTCTCTACAAGACTGAAAAATGTCATGCTCTAGGACAGCCTGGGAAAATAGCAGTTACTGTAGTAGGGATGCTGCAATCCTCTGGTACAGTTCTTACTGTAATTTGTTTTGATTCCTAAGGGAAGCACTGGCCCTTTTGAAATGTTGTGGTCTGTAGCACTGTAGTTGATGCTGATGACAACCTGTACCCATAGGAAACACATAGTGGTGGAAAAGACGTTTACTGAATTCTGTACCTACCACTCCTGTCAGCTTCAAAAGGAATGTCTCCTACTCTGGAGATATTCAAAACCTGCCTGGATGTGATTCTGTGTGGCCTGTTCTAGGTGAACCTGCTTCGGCAGGGGGGTTGGACTAGATAATCTCCAGAGGTCCCTTCCAACCCCCACCATTCTGTGATTCTGTGAATTATGAATACTCACCATGCCCCAGGCTCAAAGCTAAACCTAGTGTCTAGAGCAATACTTGAAAACTTTTGAATAACTAGTCATTACTGGTGATCTATTGTATGTAAAAAGTTTCAGAAACATGGCCTAGCTTTTACTGGAAATCCCTTCTTTTTAATTTGTTCTTTCTTTTCCTTCTTCTTTCATCTTGTAGAATGGAATGATTGTCCATGTCCTTTCTGGCAAATGCATAGAGGCAGCGAAGAGTGAAGATGAGGACAACTTGGTTTTGTGTGTATGTAACAAGAATGCAAATCAGGTGTGGCAATTTGAACGTTCCCATGTGCTACGTCAGAGATGACTGACAGGCCTCTGTCAAGGTCAAGTCTCCAAAATGTAACATTACTTCTGTTTGGGATTTAAGACACATTTCCTGCATGGACAAGAAAGATGTTTGTGTTTGCTGTAGCATGCAGGGAAGTTAGGAAGGTCTCTCCTTTGAAAGCCTGGCTCAAATAGTTGTTGCCAGTTCCTGCTTTATTCAGCTCTAGCTAAAATTTCTATTTATTCTGTGAAGCAGGGAATAAAGGTACTGTGAGCATCAACAAGTTCTGCCATTGCAGAAGAGAGTTAAGTTTGCCTTTTGAAGGAAACATGGAAAATTGGCTGCCAGACAGCTTGTCTTTAGTATATTCTGTGACTTCTGATGATACAGGAAAATGAGTGTTTGTGAAACTTTTGAAACTGTAAGAGGAAACCAACCAAACCAGGATAAGAGTTTAGCCTTGTTTTACAGTGCACTCGGCTCATATAAAACAAAGTAGGTTTTGTATGGATAAAAGTAGTAGATGTTTTCACATGTAATAGCTAAAATTTTGGGTTCCAACTAGCCTGAGCCAAATTTCTACCCTCTGTGAAATTGCACAGAGCATAAATTAGCACTTCATTAGGCCCTAACTGCTCTAATTGACTTGGAATACCAGCAGTCCTCAGCATTTGGCACACCCTTCCTTAAATCCTTCATCCACAGTCTAATTTGGGTGGGAGAGTGAGACTGAAATACTAACAACTTCTGTTTTGTTTTGATGACATTTAAGAACAACTCTTCAGGAAACTTTTGTGGAATATGGAAGAAAATTGAACTAGATTAGAAAGAAGGGTAGCAACTTCCCTGCTTGCTTTGAAATTGAAAGTATCAGTGGCATCCATCTGCTCTTATACAGCTATGGGAGAAGCTTATTATTCCAGTGACAAAAGTGGTGGCTGAAACCAGCAAATGAAAGGAAACAGCAGGTTTCAACAGTGGCTACTTAGAAAGAAAATACTGGTGCCTACTTCCACTTGCTTGCAGCCTCAGTTAAGTTTTTCACACTTTGAAAGTGAGTAAGTCTTTAACACTGTTGGTTTTAGCCAAGATCTTTAAGGTTCTTGCTGTCATGGGCACCCGGGCTGACCCTCCAAAGACAGTAGCATACAAAAGTTTCTAAACAAGCTTCTTCTGCAGAGCCTGCATCCCTGCTGACCTCTGTCTTTCAAAGAAGTGAATGAGAGTTGATGTTAGGTAACGGGAATGGTCTCATCCAGTATGCACTAGCAAAGCAAACTTCTGTCAGTATTTTGTTAGGGCACTTTCATTGTTAAAACCAATAATGATGACACTTTCCAAGAGCCTGCTAAGACAGAAGGACAAGATTTGGGAGTCTTCCCACATCAGCAGCACACCCAAGTTGTAGTATAAATCAGCCATAGCCATATGTATTTATTAAAGGGGAAGGGCATCATTAATGAAACTTGATTTGGTTTTGAGATTTTTTTTCAAGAGACAGGAAAGTGGGGGGGGTGTGGTGTGTAAAATGTACAAGTGTTTGAACTTTAGAGAAAGGAAGGAATAACAGGATATTCTGCTCAGAGCCTTCCAGTCATCTGCTCTTGATAAATCATAATAAATTAGTTTCAAGCATATAAAATTGGTTACAACAGAAGACACGAACAGCATTCTACGTTGGGTTGTCCAAAACATTTCCCATTGGGGGCTCTGTTTGCTTTGAGAGCTACAGATTCCACACCATGTTCAAGCATCACTCCAATCACCCTAATTACCACTTACTCTTTCTTTGATAGCATCAGAATCTAATACCATTTGCTGCTGTGTCATTTAAAATTTCCTGTGACGTTCTTGAAAATGCTTCAACTTTCAGCTGAAAGGATGGTAGCAACTTCTTCCAGAACACCAAGTGATCCCTGATCATTGCCCAGATCTAGGGTGAGAAAAGAGAACTTCTAAAATTGCATAAAAGCTTAGTGAAATGCTGTTTTAATGACATGTGATTCCTTTATTTTAAATTATAAGTATGCCAGATTTTTAAATTATGTATTATTTATTATATTTTGGACTCTACACTGGGAATATCATTCCTTCAGCATTTAGCTTAATGTTAAAAAAATGTGTATACAAATATGATAATTGATTACAAGTAGGATTTAACACAAAGAAGAATGAAAATATTTTTGGTTTAGAGAGGAAATGTTTGGAATTAAACTTCAGAAATGTGGACATCCTCATCTTATACTGCTTTTTAACAGAATGATAAAACCCCAGAAAATAAGGTTTGCTGTGGATATATGTACAATAAAAAAAAATTGTTACATAATACCTCTTCCAACAATAAAATGAAAATACATGGTTCAGTACCATTTAAAAAATAATTGTTATTATACTTGTTTCTTTCAGTAACAGTGTAAATATGTGTTTGGTTTCCAAAGGAACTAAACTCCAGAGCACAGGCCAGAAGGGAGCTGCAGTGCGGTCTAGGCGGTCTCCCTACAGGAACAGCCAAGGGACATGGATTGTGGGCCATAACATGGAGCACACTTCCCTCTAATACAAACATAACTTGTTATTGCACTAAAAATCCAAAGGGAAAACATCTACTCCCTGGTTTTCCTAGTTTCCTTCCTGTATGCCTTTTAAATGGATTGGTTGGTTGGACCAACGCCGTTTCCCCGTTGTGGTCATTCACACTTTGCCCCGTGGTTAGGTCCACCGCCTAGACCCTTCTCCTCATGTAGGTTGTACAGGATGCTCAACAAAGGGTCTCTGCTAAGGGTGCTAGTGTGTTCTCCTCATTTTTGCCCATCTTTCAGACAATGCTAGCAGACAGCAATGCTGTGAGCATCACAAAACATGGAATTACTTTTAGCTCTGTATTTAGACAGAGACAATGTTTCAGGTTCCTCTGATTCCCATTGACAGGAGAGAAACGTAAGAACAAAATGTTTCAGGCAAGAACGGAGCAGCAGTTTTAACTGTGAAGGCCTCTGAAGCAGAGCCTCAGCCAAGAGCAAAGAAATTCCAGCATAACACAAGTAAACATCTTATAGTCTATGGCCACTTGTTGCTTTGAATTTGGCACCCCAGGCGTAATGAATGCTTTGAGGCAAACCCACCCATGAAGCTCAGCTAAAAGGTCAGATACAAGAACAGGTCACCTTTTGGTTGACAACGCTTGCTGAATAGCCTGGTTTATTCCTTTTTCAGCTAACTGGAAATGGAAGAACATAAAGGCTTGAAGTATTATTCAACTTACTTTTAAACCTAGACCCAGCTGATGCAGTCGGTATTGGCCATAGTTTGGGGTTTGTCCTATTAGGTGAGGTGTCATCATTAACACTCAGAAACAACGGCAGTATTTTTCTCCATGTGTTAACCTGAAGTTTGAACAGGGGGAAGGCTACAGCAACCTTTATGCTAAATGCTGTGGCATAGAAACATTCAGGGCATCTCTCAGTCTACGTGTAAGTGCTTCCAGGCCCTCCCTTAGAGATGTTGATTGAGCGGTAATAGTGTCCGCTTACTAAAATGCAATAGTTTTGATAACAGATTTCCCCAGGAAGGAATGGGGCTGGGCTGAGGCAACCAAGACAAGAACAGTAACAGCCTAGATTTTCATAACAGCTGGAAGGTGACATGTGAGAGCTTTCAGATTCTGCCTTTGTATCTCATTTTATCTCCAGCAGTTTGATTCAAATTACGAACGCATTGGAAGAGATTAAAAGAGGAGTGTTTTGCAAATATTGATAACTTCTTGGCTTGTGTTTTTAAGCTATACAGACTGCACACTTCTGCCCTGAATAAAGTATATCAGTGCACAGTGAAATGTTGTATTTTTATTCCTCTTCATTGTGATATGATTGGCTAATGCCTCTTTTTCCTCATGCTGCAGAATAGCAGGCCTGCAAAGAACCCTGTTGAAAAGCCTCCAGTGGCAATACTTTCATTTAGTCATCACCTAATGGTCTTACAGAAATGTACAGGAGGACACTGTACATTTGAGGGGGTTTGGTTTTATAGTCCTTCACCATAATTTCTATCAGGGATAGATATTACCTGAATAGGCACTACGGACCTAAGGTCCCTGGAAAGCACCATCTCTGGCACACCCTTCAGACAGCTCACAGCTGTTTCTTCACCAGGTGGCTTGGAAGGACGTACTAGAAAAACAGTCTGGCTACACGACTTGGGATAGCAGGCATGGCATTTTTGGTGTCTTTCTAGGTGCAAATGGTGGCTTTTTTTGTAAAACAGCTATCCCACTCGGGGATTATTATGCATTAGACACGTGGGATGGAATTCCCCTCTGTTGCCTGCAGCCACCTAAACAGTAGTCCCAACTGAGCTAATTGCCTAGGCTTCTCCTACTGGTCAGCAGAGAACACTTCCAGAGGTAGCGTCGTTCTTTTCAGAGACAAGCATTTAAACAAGATGGGTGAATCACTATCTAGAAGTGCTTGCTTTCTCTAGTGATTAGAGAGAGAGTCTTAATGATTAATCTAGATGGCATGTGTAGCTTTTAAACTGGAAGGTTTAAAAGGAAGGTGGAAGGAACATCATCCGAAGGGTACCCAGGCTAAAATCCCTTCCAGGAGCCCAGCCGCAGCGCCTAGCTCTTCCAGTTCCCCCCCAGATCTGGCTTTGGGCACAGAGAAGACAGCCAAGAACAAACTCCCTTTCTACCATCTGCAGTTTCCTCGAATAAGCTTACATCCAACAGCACATTTTTATTTCAAGATAGCTTTGTTGTTCACAAACTGAGAGACCCTGCTGTGTAGGATGCTGTGTTACAGCATGACCTGGTCCCAATGGGATAAGAACTTAAATTTTCAGAAAGCCTCTGTAATATTTTGAAGATGTGAACTGTAATATTAATGATGAATCTTCTATATCTTTTTGCTGAGTAGGCTAGAAAGTTACTACAGAATATTTGTGATACAGAACAGATACAGGTGTCAGGATTGTCAGCACGGTTCTTTTTTAACTGGAACCCGAGTTACACACAGACCAGCCTAAAGGCTGAACACATTATTCAGTTTCTAAGTAGCTATGCAATGACCTTTGTTAAAGTCCATGACCTTTGGTAATACTATCATGTTATATGTTTACACTAGCAGTAATTTTGTGTTACTATTTGAGAAGATGGTGAAAATAATCCATTTTTTAAAATATGCATTACATAAAAATACTAAATATACTTTAAAATAATCTGAGCTATTTTGTGCAATTATTCAAATGATTGCTACCACAAATC